ACCCCACCGGAATCAATATCGAGCAGTTTCTCATCATCACTGGCATATGACGACCAGTCGAATGACGGTGGATGGCCATCTGGCTTCATAACCGATTTTGAATCAAGGATATGGATGACTTACAGATCCGAGTTCGAACCCATTCCTCGTTCCACGAACCCCCAAGCCACATCTTCACTGTCACTGTCGATGAGACTCAAGAGCCAACTAGGGGATCAGAGCCCATTCTCATCAGACAGCGGGTGGGGATGCATGATTCGGTCTGGTCAAAGTTTACTTGCAAACACCATCGCACTCGTTCGCCTTGGGAGAGGTAAGTCAAAGCGCCCACCACACTAGACTATATCACATGCCTGACATCGTACAGACTGGCGTCAGGGACAATCACTAGAAGAAGAATGTCGTATCCTCAAAGATTTTGCCGACGATCCAAGAGCTCCATACTCAATCCACAGTTTCGTCCGACATGGTGCCAGCGCGTGTGGCAAGTATCCAGGTGAATGGTTTGGCCCATCAGCAACAGCCCGCTGCATCCAGTACGTCCAAGTTCTCACCACTGTTACACACGCGATATCAGTTCTAACACACAAGTTGAAGAGCATTGGCGAACTCACATGAGCCCTCAATCAGGGTATATTCCACTGGCGATGGGCCTGATGTCTACGAGGATGACTTTATGAAAATTGCGAAGCCAACCGGCGAAGCCTTCCACCCCACGCTTGTATTGGTAGGGACTCGGCTGGGACTAGATAAGATAACTCCCGTCTATTGGGAAGCTCTGATTGCAGCACTTCAGATGCCGCAATCTGTGGGTATCGCAGGGTGAGTACTACATGCTACTCTTCGCATATTTATAGTACTGACCATGCGCAGAGGCCGTCCATCCTCATCCCATTACTTCATCGGCTCGCAAGGTTCCTTCCTATTCTACCTTGATCCTCACCACACAAGGCCTGCACTCCCATACCATGAGAACCCCATGGATTACACCAGCGAAGAGATAGAATCGTGTCATACCGCTCGACTGCGCCGCATCCACGTTCGCGAGATGGATCCCAGTATGCTAATAGGGTTTCTGATTCGAAGTGAGGAGGACTGGCAGGACTGGAAGCGTGGGGTCAAGCATGTCCAAGGCAAGTCGATTATCCATGTAGCGCAGCAGAACGCAGTCCACGGAGGCTCGAGCGAGGGCCGTGAAGGCGCAATTGACGAAGTTGAGACGCTAAGTGACGATGATACGGATACCATTCAGGAGGCCTAGATTGGTTATTGGGCCCGGCGTTGTTTTGATACTTATTTTGGCTGTAATTTGCTGCAGCCCATAATGATTTGCAGAAGGACCAGGCGTTACGTTGGGATAGACATTGAAATCGATTCGAATGACCCTCTTTATCACGATTTTTGTCGTTTCAGGCTGCGAGATACAACGCGTTCTTCACGCGCTGCCTGTCGTTTGATGTCACCTGCCGAATGGTGATATGGTTGAATGCAATATGCATATCGTATGCATTAGATCCTTAATCATCTCTTCTTCTTCTTGCCTCCACCGGTCACTGATTTTAGTTCTGCATGTCCTTCCTCTCGAATATGGACGAACAGCCTGGTTCTAGAAGCGAAAGCCTCCCCACAAACTCCGCACCGTGGCTATCAACTGTCGTCAGCTTAACAGAAAGATGATCGTTGATATGTTAAACATACTTCTTCTTCTTTCTGCGACTGTGCAGCCGCAGCTTTCTTGGCGCGTTTGGCCTTGGCCTTGCCAACCTTCTTGCCCTGCGCAGGCTCATCAACCGACAGATCCTGCACTGATGCTGATATTTCATCGTCTTCATTAGTAACATCGCTGGTAGTTTTGAGTTTGCTGGCCGAAGCTATTCTCTCCTCGACAACATCCCTGGGTGCGTAGTCGGTGTCGTCTGATGCGTCTGCAGACTCAGCAGGTGTCGCGGCGAGGGACGAATCCGCTGGAGTCGGCGATACAGCTTCACCTTTAGTCGATCCAAGCGGCTCCTCTTTGACATTGCCTTCCTGTGCTGCAGCATCTTTTTTCTCGTTCGCATTTGCCTCACGTGGTGATGATACCTCATCAAGCTCCAGCTCAGCACCTTCGCGCTTCATCTGCCGACGCAGTTGTTGGACAGCCTTGATGTGCTTCTTGCTCTTCTCGTGCGCCTGAAGCTGCTTCTCGCTTTTGAACGACTTGTTGCATACAACGCACTCCAGTATCTCAACCTCTGATTCCTCTTCAGATTCTGAAAAATCCCCCTCTGCTCCATTGTCGTCGGATCGAGCCTGGGCCCATTCGGGAATCTCGAATGATGCCATGCGCTCCTGGTTCGCAGCTCGCGATCGAGCGGCCTGGGCCGCAGCAGCATTTCGCAGGGAAGCTTGGCGCTCGTCTTGGGTCTGCGAATTGGGTAGGTATCTGGGGTCTCGTTTGCGCACGAAACCGACGAGGAAGTTGACAGCATCATTGAACTCGCGAATGGCGTCCTCCCGCATCTTCTTGTTCTCCTTATCCATCGAACGGCGGACACGGCGGTCGGGGGCATCAGAAAGTCGATATTTATCCTTCCATGCGAACGACTTGACGGTTGCGAAGCCAGTCCATGCAGTGTAAAATGGTTTCACAACATCCTCGTAGTCATCGTCAGAGGATCCAAAAGTTGGGTAGTCCCGGACATCGAGGTCGTCGTTATCGGCAGCAGCCTCCTCTTCCATGGCCAAGTGTTCGAAAGTTTCCCTGCAGATTCCGTAAAAACCCGTCGGTTCGTCATCGAAGGGCACCGCAGCGTTGAACTTGCGGATCAGGCCCATGATCTCCTCAGCCGATGTGAGTCGCACGTTGCGGAAAGTAGTAGGTTGGCCGTCATCGTCGCCGTCTCTTCCACTGAGGATGGCATCGCGGTGTGAATCGTACCAAGCTCTCTCTTGAGGATCAGACAGGATCTCGTAAGCGGTTTGAACTTCGGCAAAGCGGCGTGTGGCGGTCTCGACATCATTGATGTTGCGATCAGGATGAAGCTCGAGTGCTTTTCTGCGGTAGGCTCGCTTGATCCTAGTCAAGAAAAGGTCAGTAGGAAGACAAGATAGAGGGGCATATCCGGAGAGATTTACTCATCGTCTGTTGCAGAACGCTCAACACTGAGCACCTCGTAGTAACAAGTTTTTGCGACGGGAGCTGGGCCACCAGCATTGGAGGTTTCTGAGGATTGTTGGGCTCCCATGATTGCTATTTGGATGAGCAACACGGGGCCAGTGAGAGCTTTGGTCAAATCTTCTGTTTCCGGAAAATAGACAATAGGAAAGGCAGTGATTTATATATGTTATATTTGAGGTCTGGACTTGGAGCTTTGTGTGAAGGAGGGGCATCGCGGGGCAAAATCAATGATAGGCAATTTAACCAGGCCAAATAAAATAAATAAATTTGCTTTCTCCCCGCAGGATATATCCCCGCTATTTCCGGTTTCTAGAAAAGATCCATGAGAAGCGTGTAAGCTCATTTGTTACTCGCCATGCATCTCACTCTGTACGCCGGATGATTCACAAAGAGTCATAGTATATGAGTTTATGGAAAACAGTCTCATCCTTTATGGATATAGTATGACCGCTCTTTGATGGCATTATCTCCTACTATCACATGCTCCCTTTCCAGACGAGCTACTCTAGGTGTGTACTGAGTCTTGAATACTCGTTACTTGTCAATCAGGCATAATGTTAGGTACTCTTGGGTTCCATATTCATGACTAACAATTATAGTAGGTTCTCCATTCTCCTTCATTTCGCTCTTACGCCATTATGAGATACATATCCCTTCGTACGGTGAATGAAACAGGTTAATGCCGGTGTAAATTACAAGAACTCATCTGAGCTTTCCGGATCAACGCCTCTATACCATTTGCATCTCAGATTTCACTGTCGGTGGTTCCTCAAGGAAATGATCTAGAAACCGTGGGCCTACCAATGATAAAGCCTGGATCGCACACGAGGCTGAAGAGAATGGACTAGTTGTACGGGTGATCGGTGAGCTAACAGAGCACAGACGCGGTTCGTCTGAAATTGACATCGATAGTCCAGTTGTTGTATGTACAGTATGGACATGGCAATCTATTGCATCTTTGGCTGTTGGCATCATGACTTTTCGACCAGATTTGCATTGCCATACATCTAGATACAGGCTGTCTGTCATTTATTTGTTTTATTTTTAGCAGTCGTCTGACCATTTCCCCATCCATGGCACCACTGATTATACCATGATGAACCAATCACCAATGCCGATGATGCAAAATTCGATCGGGGGAATGCGAAAATGTCTGCTGGTCTAGGCGAGTCTCGAGTCTCGGTCAGCGAAAATGGTCGAATGATGCAGCAGATGCACTTGGCCTGATTCATGAAAGGTACAGTATCATTCAGTTCAAAGGCCTCTCTACCGCTGCCGGCAAGAGATTGCCGAGAGCCCACTCCAGGCTCATCCTTACCCGTTTCTTCCCTCTTCTAAAGCAAATGGAAGATAGTTAGTTACCATTCAGAGGGCAGAAGAAGAAGAAAAAGGAAAAGAAAAAGACCACGAGCGACCCGAAATCGGTACCAATATTTACGTGGGCGAGTCTGCATTGAGTTAGGTCTCTTCCTCTCTCCCTCCCTCCCATGACTCTTTTGATACAATAGTATCGATCTTTTCCACGCACGAGGTCATTCATTCATTAATTAGTTACCTCGTTACTAAGTTAACTACCTATTTACCTTAATGGCACTCACTCACCTTTTCTTCTCCTTCTCCTCCTCTTCTTTGTTGCGGCGTATTTCCCTGACTTGATTCTTGATCCTTCTCCCTGCTTTTCCTCCTGCGATCCGAGCCTTTCAGCCTTAAGCGTCGCTTGTTCTGTTCTGCTCTTATTCCTTCGTCTTTTCCCGTCCTTTTTGCCACCAGCTGCCTTATACTGCAAGTGGTCGCGTGCCTCTCTTATGCGAAAACTTGCTGCTCCACCAATTTGGCAATCATGAAATTCGGTCACGATTTCAAAGAGACTCTACGAGCTCAAGGTTCGTCTAGTCCACATGTTTTTGTCCATATTCGGGTTGTTTCATATTCAATATACTGTCACTTCTGTACATCCTACATACTGTACCTACTTAGTGTCTGACCAACCCTCACAGACTTCCCTGCTCACTGGGTAGATCATGCTATTCCCTATAGCCAGCTCAAGAAATGTCTCAAGAAAGTTGCGCGGGAGCTGCATGAGCTTGGACTTGATCCTGAGACGTTGCGCGAGCTCCTCAACCCCGATGAGACGTCTCCTGTGGCCCTGAAGTATAAACTCAACGGTATGACTTGACCCCAACGTTTTTCAACGGTTTTCTCCTCCGCCCAAAACTGACTGATTGACTGACTTTTCACAGGTGGTGCCGACTCTCACCTCCGCCCAAAACTCATCGTACAGGTCCATCTTCAGGATGGTGTCCCCGTCGATGCCTCGCTTGCGCCCAATACGCGCGACTTTCTCAACAAGATCGCAATCAACCTCCCCCAGAACCAACCAGCGCAGGTCGAGTCTGCCACTAAATCACCAGAATCAGACTCTGTGAAGGACGCCGCAAAAGCCGAAGCCGTCGTCGAGACCCCCTCTGCACCCCCCACCGAAACCGTTGATGCGCTCGTTGACGAAGCCAACGACAAGCTTGCCATTGCTGTCGCCGACGAAACGACTGTTAAAATTACCGAGAAGCCAGCAAGCGACTCCGAGCAAACAGAACCCATCGCTGAGCTTATTAAGGATGGCTCGACCGAAGCCTCTGCGACCTTACCTGCTACTGGTGCGACCGAAGGAACGTACGAAATCATTGAGGTTCCCCTGACTTTCGACGCCGAGTTCTTCGAGATGCTTCAGAGCGACGTCAACAACCTTGATGCTCTACAAATGGAGGAAGAGAAAACCATGACCTCGGAAATTGTAGCGCTTGGGAAAGAAGTTGAACAGGTCGTAAAGCCGAAACGATTCTCAAAGACAGATCTTGCACGATGGCGACAGATTTTCGAGCTGTACCTGGATGCTGAGATCTTCTTCGCTACCCACGAACAAGACCATGGAGAGCGCTCAAGTCAAGTCGCCCTAAGGCAGTTGCAATGGTTCCAGGATCAGGTCGCTAAGGAGAATCTCGTCAAAGATTTCAAGCTTCCCGAGAGCACGGCAGCTTTCAACCGCTTCATCAACTTGAATGCGTCCCTCCTAAAGAACATGCAGTTCCAGGAGCTTAACAAAACTGCCGTTGCCAAAATTCTCAAGAGTAAGTGGAACATGCCAAGTGCTTGTTAAGTCCGAGATACTGACATCGCTTAAGAATTTGACAAACGAACAGCGCTGGGAGTCGCTAGAAAGTTCCCTACCGTTGTTCACTCAGACAAGCTCCTAGCAGGCACCATTGCACGAGATGTCTGCGCACAAATGTCGCAAGAGCTCGTATCCAAAGTTCCCCAGCTCAACGACTATCTTTGCCCAGTCTGTTTCTCAGTGGCGTACTTGCCCGTCCGTCTCGACTGCCAGCACGTATTCTGTATCCGTTGTGTCATCAAGATTCAGCGACGAAAGGAGAAGCATTGCCCATTGTGCAGAGCAGATGTGGTCCTCAAGGCTTCTGCGATGAATCTTGACTACGAACTACAAAAGTACATGAAGAAATATTTTGCAAAGGAGGTCAAAGAGAAAGCGCGCGCGAACGAGATTGAGCGTGGTATCGAGGACTACGGGCCTGGTTATGTCCACCAGGAATGCTGCATAATGTGAGCTCAATAGGCTCAGACATGGACACGACTATTGCTATCATCATCATCATCATCATCACGACATACTCGAGCGACTTGGATTGGCACAGACTTTTGCATCAGAAAGAACCACGATACTTGTGAGTTCTATGTCATCTGTCTGTCAGTAAAGGGTGCACAGTCAACTAACATCACTCCTTAGATTATTACGACGGAAGACTGCATCTGGTACGGAACGTAATGACATGACCTTTATAGAACGAAGATAGACGATTATGTGCAAGGAAAAACAGCACTTTTAGTTGCTTTTTATCATCACCTCGTAATCGACACAGCCTCAGCCGCCTTCAAGGCGTTTGTAAAAGTATCCTGAAGTTCAGTGGTCTCCTCTAAACCGACGCTCACGCGAACAAGATAGGGATCGACACCAAACTGCTCAGCCCATTCCAGTTCCTGGTAGTGGGCAAGGAGAACATACGGTGAAGCCAAGGTGAAATTTGTTCCCAGACTTGGTCCCTTTGCAAGAGGCAATGCGTCAAAGAAGGCCTGAGCATGCTCCTTTTGCTGAAATACAACGGAAAGTAGACCGCCGTATCCGCCATCCGGTAGACGGACCTTTTCGTAGTGAGACTTGGAGTCATTGTACTTGGGGTAGTAAATGCTCTTAACAAGGGGGTGTGTTCGTAACACTTCGCAGATAGCATCCGAATTCGCGTTGATGCGGACTACTCGAGACTCAAAGTCGCGACTGTTCCTCTCCATGAAGATGACATCCTCGGGCCAGTAGTTGTCTTCGTATATCTCGTTCATGGTGGCCTTGAGTGTGCGATAATACTTACTATCAGGGTTGAGAACAAGCCCTCCACCCATGACATTAGAGTCGCCCGAGAAGATCTTGGTGAGACTGCTGACGACTACGTCTGCAACAGGGAGAACGTTGATGTTGGCAAATGTGCCAATCGTCTCGTCGACAACGACTGCGAAGTCGTACTCATCTGCCAGTTTGCGGATGCGAGTGAGGTCAGGACATGTCAGCAGAGGGTTTCCAGGGAACTCGCAGAAGAGGCCGAGGAACCGCTCGCCGTTCTTGAGTCGAGCCTCGAGATCATCGAGGTCTTCTGCAGAGGCGTGTCCGTAAAAGAGACATCCAGGGCCAAACTTCTGCAGAATCTTGAGTGTGTCCACGTAAGGGAAACCAAAGTTGATACTCTGCGCTGGCTCTCTTGCGTGAAGGAGCGCACGGTGGGCATTAAAAATGGCGTTCATGCCAGCAGGGTAAAGGTAGACGTCGTTCTCCTCAAGGTTGGGCATGCCGCGAGTGTTGGATGTCATCGCAGGGAGAGGGCCATTGTTCAGATCGACGTCATGAGCCATGGCTCCAGCGATACGTCTACGGATAGCAGACTTGGCACGCTCAACCATGGACAAGTCGAGGTTTCTACCGAAGCGCTCTTCGAGGAAACGTGAGCTCTCGAGAGACTCAACAGGAGTCTCGGGCGAAAGTTGCTTGGGTGTCGAAGGGGCCGGAGAAGAGACACCATCGATTGAGCCTGGGCGAGTATAGCGCCTTGGGCCGCGGAAAGGTCTGCCCTGCGAGGCTTCAGGAGGAGTCCGTGACCGAGCAGCTGGGATGAGGAGGTCATCTTTGAACAGGCCGTGGCAGAACTCAGCACGTCTACTGGACGTACCCTCGCCAGTGTGCTGCCAGTACTGCTTGGCGATAGGAAATACCTCAGAGGGATAAACTACAGCTGAGATGGTGGAAGTGAGCTTCTTGAGCACAGGCGAGAGCTCCTTTGACTTGTCCAGAGTAAAGTCAATGATGCGGACCTGACTCGCCAGCTCAGGAGAGATTCGCTGGAGGATGAAGTCTTGACAGCGGCCTGCCACTCGCGGTGTAGGGAAGAGCATGGCCTGCTGACCAGGATTGCCATAGCGATCAACAATGTCTTTGGCAAAAGCCTGGATACCTTTATGGACAAAGAATCTATGGGAGTTTCATGTAAGTGAGGATACTTTCGTATAGCACGGCAGTTGATATGGCTAAGCTCACCGAGGGTAGCCCGTCGTCATACGGTTCACAACCCAGTCCTCGCCCTCTTCGTATCCGACATTTGCTTTCCATGTTGGCAAAGAGACACTGACGGCCTAAAGACATTGAATTAGCAAGAAAGTTCCATGATAGATACGCACTCAATTGTTTTGGTCTTGACTCACATGTGCCGTGTCGGGAGGAATGGACTCGCCCAAGCCAATCTCTGGCATTGTCGTGTTTAGGATGAAGAGAGAACAAGGTGATGATGAATAGATTTCGGTCGGTATATTTGAAGCCGATATGTACCGAATAGTTTTTACAGAAAGTATATGTGAGACAACTTTTTTCTTCTTTTGACTCGATGTGAATTGGTGGCGCTGTGGTTGGATCGAGGGGAAAAATGTCCGAGAACCGGAGGGGGAAAGTCAGTGTGTGAGTCTTTGGGCATGTAATGTACCCAGAAATCCTGGAGAATAACTACTACCTAGGTAGGTGCTATAGTAGGTCAGGTAGTGCTAGTGAGTGAATTCAAGTGGGACAAGTGACTCTTTAAGCTTGTTTTGGTCACGTAAATTACTTGCTGAGCTGTATTTACTTACTGTAGATCACCAACTACTTAATCAAGCCTTATCTCACTCCAAAATATTAAGAGTCTCATCTCCTTGAACTGCGTAGACCATAAGAAATGAAACCGTGAGAATTACCAATGACCAATCTTACCAATATCAGGGTGGGATATTACTAGTAGGTACCTCAGAGCCCAGACTAGCGACTAAGTAGGGTAAAGTAAGGTAGTCAGAGTGATATCCCCATGTACTGCACTCACTTGATCGATGTGACGTTCATGGTGACCCCCACACTCGCTAGAAACACCAACATCGATGGATCATGAGGGTGTTGCAAGGAGTGGGCTGCACCATGATGATGATGATGCGAGATAGAGGGGCAGGGCAGTTAGCGGAGGTGTGAAGTATTATGTTCTGGGCGGCAAATGACTCGGCAATAGACCGCTGACTGTCGTCTTGAAATGCCAATGTCTTCTGCATTGTCTCTATCGCGCATCTCTGAATGAATACCTACTTATAATGTCTGTCTTTCTTTCATGTTCCGTCATGTGTCCAGTCTTGACATCCAACATCTAGTTACAGCTTGTCGTCGTCAGCCAAGCAGAACAGACTGCTATATTCCATCCAATGCGTCTTACTCAAGGAAACAGGAAATCATCGCAAAACCTCCCTTCACCAAAAGAATGCCCGGGAAAGAAAGCCAGGGGGCCCTGCCCGGACACCATAATAGTAATAACACACAAACGCCTCCTCATATGCCAATCGAAGACCCCGCGAGATTAGATCCAAGCGGCTGTCCTTGAAACAAAAACCCATGAAGCTCCCCTCTGTGGTCTGTAAACAACAACAGCATACTGCCTGCCAGTTGATCCATTTCATTCTGTCGAACCAATCTGAAAAGGCCTAGTCATGCATGAATCGCTTTCTATCCGTTCCATCAACTCGTCAATCGTGTCGTTCTTATCGCCGCTCGTATAAATGCATCTCATAATCGTAATTCTTCTTCATCGTATCTTGCGGCTTCGTCTGCTCGGCTTCACCCCAACACAGCTGATACTGTCACTTGGGGCAACACTGACCATGTCGTCATCCCAATCGGCGTGACTGCTACCAATGCCGCTCATGGGAAGCGAAACGTTCCTGGCAGATACGTAGCTCTGAGCCTTGCTTGGGTAGCCCATGTGTGGGTAGTCAGGTCCAGTGGCCATCCGGGGCACGTTGTACCGACTCCTGGCCCGACTCCTAGGCATCATGTCTGGCACGTCGGGGGCTTCGTAGACATCGGGATCCAGAGGAATCTCAGGCGCGTCAGGCACCTCGGGGACCTCTGGTGCCTCCATAATGTCGGCCTCCACCTCAGTGCGGGAGGATCGACGAGGAGCTCGTGAAGATGGGCGTGATCGAGCTGAAAAGTATGTCCGCTCATCGTCATACGGAGGTCGGTGACCGCGTACGACTGATTGTGACGACTTGGGCGCTCGGGAACCGGCATGGCTACGGCGGTCGTCGTACTTTCGGCTGACGGGCGCCTCACTTCGGAGATCGTCCACTAACACTACAGACTTGCTGCGACTAACACCCGCTTCGCTGCGGGCTCTGACGCTCCTAGACTTGTCAGTTATAGGAGGCCTGGAAGACCGCCGGCTTCTTGCTTCGAAACCATCCTCCGGAGGCCGTGACGACCTGCGACTGCGTGTATCAAATCCATCCTCACGTGGCGGCCGTGACGCTCGACGGCTTCGTGTCTCAAAGTCATCGTCCGGGGCTCTTGACGCGTGGCGACTGCGTGTTTCCACAAACTCATAGGCGTCTTCTGGGGGAGGGTGCCTCGACGAGCGTCGACTTCGGGTAGTGTCATATCCTTCCTCTGCTGGGGCTCGACTTCGAGATCGGGCACGAGAAGGAGCAACGCTCCTGGCAGTGCTCTTCGCAACACTTCTGGTGCTTGGAGCAGCACTCTTCGCAGCAACGCTCCTGGCAGCACTCTTGGCTACACTCCGGGTTCTGCTCCGACTTCTGGCTCGGGATTCGTTTGACCATGGATTTTCCTCATCGTAAGGAGCTTGCGTCAGGTATTGAATGGGGCGGACCGGCTCGTCTGGAGAATCCTCACTGCTGTCGTCTTCTATGTAACCGAGATTCCTCGGCGGATACGATTCGTGATGCATCTTGCGGGGAGCATAGTCATTCTGCATGTGTTTCTGGAAAGGATATCCCTCCGGATACATATCCTGAGGGGCAAAGCCACCATGTCCTCGATAAGGGAGCGCCTTGGGCGGGTATTGTGACGCCGTGGGCGGGTAGTCCGCGTAGGTGATGCGGCGCTCGTCATTGTGTAGTTTATGAACCGTGGGGGCCTTCTCGGGGAAGGTTGAGCGTCGTGGGAGCGACGGGGGCTCATACTCCTGTCTTGGTTTTCGT